CTCCCCCCAGGGGACCTCTCTCTGTACCTGGTGGGTGGAGTTGTCCCAAGGGTGGAGCCTGGCCAGGGGCACCTGGGCAGGGGCTTGGTCTGGCCTCCCTTCCTGCACGGGCTCTGAGGACAGAAAGCACCCCTGGCTGGGTCACGTAGGGGTTCTGAGTAGCCGTGGGTCACACAGGGTTTCCACGGGCCTTTTCTACAGGAGGGCCTCACAAAGGTGGATGTGTGGGTGGTTTAATGCCCCCACATGCACACAGCTTCACACCAGATCTTCACAAGGCCGAGCCAGAAGAATTAACTGTCTCCTCCCCCTGATATGAAGTTCTGGTGTGCGAACACACTGAGCCTGCAGAGACCAGACCCAAGGCAGAGGGGCTCGGGGTGACAGGCCAATTGCTTCGCTTACACAGACGGGAAGACTGAGGCCAGAGAGAGAAAATGACCCGTGCGAGGTCCAGCACCAAGCAGGTTGGGGGACAGCAGAGCCCAGATTCCCAGCTTAAGCAGCTACCTTGCCACTGACCTCTGCTGGCCACCCTGCGGTGCTGAGTGGGATGGAGAAGGGACCCTATACTTTCAAAAAGGTCGTTTGAGGACTTGAGCTTCCTGCTGAGAGAGAGTAAAGCGATCGGATTGTGGATTTACTGTCCCACTAAAAAAACAACTTAAGGGGCCGGCCCGGTGGTGCAAGTGGTTAAGTGGTCGTGCTCCGCGGCGGTGGCCCGGGGGTCCCCGGTTCGGATCCCGGGCGTGCACTGACACACCGCTTGTCAAGCCATGCTGTGGCGGCGTCCCATATAAAGTGGAGGAAGATGGGCATGGATGTTAGCCCAGGGTCAGTCTTCCTCAGCAAAAAGAGAAGAGGATTGGCAGATGTTAGCTCAGGGCCAATCTTCCTCATATACACACAAAAAAAACAACTTAAAAAAAAAACCAACTAAACAAAAAAGTATGAATGTATATGTGTACATACAGACATAAATATACACAGACACAGATATGAAAGAATGGTTCTCCAGACACTGCAACACAGCACAGCAATCCCTGAGAGACAGAAAACAAGTGAGGTGAGACCTCTGATTGCCACAGCGTGCTTCTAGGCTGCAGTGCAAGGAGGGGAAACTGAGGCAGAGCCTGGCAGGCCCCTGGGTAGAGGAGATAGAGCTGAGAGTCTGGAGAGACCAAGGCAGCGAGAGCACGTGGGGCAGGGTATCAGAGAGGAGAGAGCCGCACAGAGAGAACCAGGACATCTGTGGAGTGTCCCCCTTGAGCCACCAGTAGAGAGCTGATGGGTGAATGCATGTAGGGAAAACACAGGTGCTGGGGTAAGAAGCATCTGGAAGGAGCAGAGGGTGGAAACTATGCCGGAATGCACCAGCCAGGCTGGGAAACCTCATGATTCACGGGTCTTAGGGCAGAGTGCATGCAAGGTCCTGCCTTGGTCCCAGACCAAGCCATGCTCTGAATTCGCCGAACAAATCAAAAACAGGACCTGGAAGGATCAGACTGCTTCTGAGTAAGTGCTTCCTGGAGGAGAGCTTCCACTGTGCATGGGAGCACACATCCAGCACTCAACAAGGTGAACTTCACAGCATCCGCAGGCGTGCTGAGAAGCAGGAGGCACAACCCATAATGAGAATAACTGATCAGTTAACAGAGAAGGACATTGGAAGTTTTTATAACCATAGTCCATATGTTTAAAAAGTTAGATAGAATCTTGGAGGATATAAAAAAGGTCCAAATGGAACTTTTAGAGATGAAAACTGAAACATCTGAGATGAAAAAGACACTGGATGGGATTAATGGCAGATTAGACATTGCAGAAGAAAAGATTAATGAACTTGAAGACAAAATAATGGAAACTATCTGAAAGAAACAGAGAGGGAAAAAGAATCCAAAGGAAAAAAACAGGGCCGGCCCCGTGGCTTAGCGGTTAAGTGCGTGCGCTCCGCTACTGGCGGCCCAGGTTTGGATCCCGGGCGCACACCGACGCACCGCTTCTCTGGCCACGCTAAGGCCGTGTCCCACATACAGCAACTAGAAGGATGTGCAACTATGACATACAACTATCCACTGGGGCTTTGGGGGAAAAAAAAGGAGGAGAATTGGCAATAGATGTTAGCTCAGAGCCGATCTTCCTCAGCACAAAAAAAGAGGAGGATTAGCACAGATGTTAGTTCAGGGCTGATCTTACTCTCACACACACACACACACACACACACACACAAAAAAGAACAGAGCTTCGTGAGCTCACAGCTTCCAAGTGGCCTAATGTACAGGCCTAACTACATATATATATGTGTCTACATGTGTGTATGTCTATATATACACAAATTTTATTTATTTTTGTGTGTGTGAGGAGATCAGCCCTGTGCTAACATCTGCCAATCCTCCTCTTTTTTTTTTGCTGAGGAAGACTGGCCCTGGGCTAACATCCATGCCCATCTTCTTCCACTTTATATGGGACGCCACCACAGCATGGCCTGACAAGCAGTGCGTCGGTGCACGCCCGGGATCCGAACCGGCAAACCCCAGGTTGCCGCAGCGGAGCGCGTGCACTTAACCACTTGTGCCACCGGGCCGGCCCCAATGTACACAAATTTTAAAAGATTCCTGAGTGTTTAAACAAACAGCAATGTATTGTGGAGTTTATAAAACATGTAAAGTAAAATGCATGACAAGAAGAGCAGGGGGCCGGCTCCGTGGCTTAGCGGTTAAGGGCGTGCGCTCTGATGCTGGCGGCCCGGGTTCGGATCCCGGGCGCGCCCCGAGGCACCACTTCTCCGTCCAACGCGAGGCCGGGTCCCACGTACAGCAACTAGAAGGATGTGAACCTACGGCATACAACTGTCTACTGGGGCTTTGGGGGGAAAAAAATGAATAAATAAAATCTTTAAAAAAAAAAAAAAAAAAAAAAAAAAAAGAAGAGCAGGAAGTCCAGAAAAGGAGAAATGGGGTATTGGAAGAGCCGTCTCCTGCAGGTGGAGTGGTAGACCGTCACTGGAAGGCAGGCCACATAGACCCTATGAGTGCAGGCGACCACTCATAGGGGTCAGTTATGGCTCAGAAGACAACCACGGAGATGAAATCCTGAAAGAATACTTGTTTAACCAAAGAAGCCAGAAAAAGAGAAAGAAGGAGACAAAGGAGAGATGAGACAAAAGAAAACAAATAGCAAGATGACGACTCAAACCTACCCGTCCGATAGTCATGTTAAATGCACACAGTGTAAGGCTCCGACTGAAAGGCAGAGTTTGCCAGATCAGATAAGAAAACATAGAGCGAGATCCAGCTCTCCGCTGCCTACAGGAGCACACTTAAAATACCAAGACACAGCTAAGTCAAAAGTAGGATGGGAGGGGCCGGCCCGGTGGTGCAAGCGGTTAAGTGCGCGCGCTCCGCTGCGGCGGCAGCCCGGGGTTCACCGGTTCGGATCCCGGGCACACACCGACACACCGCTTGTTAAGCCTTGCTGTGGCGGCGTCCCATATAAAGTGGAGGAAGAAGGGCACAGATGTTAGCCCAGGGCCAGTCTTCCTCAGCAAAAATGAGGAGGATTGGCAGATGTTAGCTCAGGGCTGGTCTTCCTCGCACACACGCACAAAAAAGTAGGATGGGAGGATGCACCACGTGAACGCTAGTTACGAGAAAGCTGGAGCAGCTGGATTAGCATCAGACAGCAGATTTCAGAGCAGAGCCTATTACCAGGGGTAAAGAGGGTTATTCATAATGACATAATGATAAAGGGGTCAATTCATCAGCACATAATAATCGTAGATGTGTACGTGCCTGTGTCAGAGCCTCAGAATACATGAAGCAAAACTCATAGAACTGCAAGGAGAAATAGACAAATCTACAGTTACGGGCAGCCTTTTCAGTACCCTTTCTCAAGAATGCAGAGGAAAATCCACAAGGATACAGTAGATTTGAACAACACCCCACCCAACAGCAGCAGAATACTCATTCTTTTCAAGAGCATAGGGAACATGCACCAAGACAGACCAGATTCTGGGAAAAACCCAGGTCTCAATGTATTCAGGGTCATACCATAGTGCTTTCTGACCGTGATGAAATTAAACCAGGGACTGATAGGCGCGGAGTCTCAGAGCAAAGCAATCGGCTCACAGTCCGCCGCCAGCAGCTCAACCGAGAGCTCGAGGCTCTCAGAGGTTTTGCGAGGCCCTCCCTACTGGGACCCTTATTTGCCGACACCGGACACACAGTAAGGGGAGTTGGTCCAGGTACTTGCGGGGCCAGCACTTGAGAGGCCTCAGGGAAAACCGTTCAAAGGGAGGGAGGTGGGCACGTGGATGGGCCTGGAAAGAGTGTAGGGGTCCCTGCTCCCAAAGGGGCTGAGACAGGCTGTACCCAGGGCTTCGGGGGGATGGTGACGGCCACCCTGGAGGTCTGCTGGGAGCGGGCTGGAGGAGCTGAGACCCCCTCTGTCCCAGAGCAGGGTGGACAGGGCTGGATGGCACCCCCACGCTCTTACTCTGCCACGGCCCCGGCTGTTGGGCTGCTTCACCGAGTGTCTAACCGAAAGCTTTCTTGCTGTAATCCAGGCTCACTGTCCCCCAGGTCTGTGTGGGTGGGGACGGTGGCCACTATGTCCACTTGCCGGCTCTGTGGACGCCCAGCTTGCCCTTCCCAGCAGGAGGCAGTGGTCCCCATGGTCAGTCACACGGTTCTGGCATCAGACTCAGTTTCAAATCCCAGTTCTGCCCTCACCGTGTGGCCTTGGGCAAGTCACCCCTCACTCTGGGCCTCTCCGTTGTGAACCTGACTCAGCTGCCCCCTCGGGGTCCATGCAGGGAAGGCACTCTGCCTCCCAGCAGGCACGGGGTTAAGCGCCTGGTGTGCGGGTGTTTTCAGGCCACTCTCACCTGCAGAAGCTGATCCCTCCGCCTGACTCTCTCGTCCTTCCTGGGGACCTGGGGAGGGCACGGCAGTGTCTCCGCCCAGGGGTGGGTGTGATCTGCTGGGTGAGAAAGCGCTGGAGACTCACAGCTCCAGCACCAGCCCCCGATGTCTGTCCTGACCCCCACCCCGCCCACTTCTACGATGGGAGGGGCCATGGGCCCCCACCTCGGGCCCCACCTGGGTCTGGCTGTCACGGTGCTCCGAGAGGTCATCAGCTCCGGGTTCCCACACACCTGCAGCCGCTCAGGCTCTGAAGCCGTTTTGGACCTGGCCTGGGTGGAGTGTTTCTCCATCAGCCGCTGTGAGTACAGGAAGGCGGTGTGCGTTGTGGGGTTCGAACGCGGCAGCCTCACAACCTGGGTCAGGCCGGGTCCCAGGGAGGAGCCCGCGACCGGGCAAGTCTCCAACCTCAGGGGCCTCGTGAGTCCATCCTCCACGTAAGGCCGACAGCTGCCTCCCTGCCCCCTGGGGAGGGCTGGGCATCACAGTGGGGGAAGGCTGGCAGGGGCTCAGCAGACACAGAGCAAGGCCGGGGCTGGAGCATCCTAAGACGTGGGGCATCACGGCAGGGGCTGGCTGTGGGAAGGACCCCTGGGGAACCACAGCCCGCGTCCCGGCCACAGCGGCCACAGTTACCCAGCAGGTGCGATGCTGGAAACAGGAGGAAGGGAAGGGAAACCAGGGCCAAGTGTGTCCGTGTTGCTGTGGATGCATGTGTGCATACATGCACACATGCGCACACATGTTCCCTCGGGTTCAGTCACTCCTGTGGGAATGTCTCCCTAAATGTACTGTGAGTCAGTACATCCCACCAACAGTCCCTGGACCAAGGACACAGAAGAGTCACTTCCACGAAGGTTCATCACATCCAACCAGACCACAGACGTCAGCCTCCTGGTCCTCACCCACCAGCCCTGGGCTGGGTACCATCTTCCCCTTCGCGGGGCAGTGCTGGGCCACCCTGACCAGCGAACGCTGCCTGTCTGATGGGCTCAACGATGCCGGCACAGGGGGCTGGGCAGAGACGGGCTCGGAGATGTGGGCCCCCTTCCCTTCCCGGGCAGCAGCCGTACACCTCAGCCGTGAGCTCCAACGGAGAGCCCGCAGCTCAGATGCCCACAAGCCCACAAGGGACATAGGCAGGTGGGAGGCTCAGGCGGTCATCTGTCCCCCCTGCCAGGTGCCCCCAGGACATAAGTGGGCCAAAACCTCCTGTTTCTGCTTTAAGATGAGCATCCTCGCACAGCCTGTTGAGCTGGCCCCTGGCAGGCAGTGTGCTCCACTCTTCGGGGCACAGGCAAGGCCCCACTTCATTAGCAGAATGTCTGCACCACCCCCAGCTTGACCTTCCTCAAAGGCAGGTGGCCCCCACGCAGCGAGGGAGCCGCATCCCCCTTAGACAGGCCTCAGGCTCGGCCGGCAGGGAGCGGGGCATGCTCGTGAGAGCCCTCGGAGGACCGGCCGGCTGACCTGCAGCTGGCGTCTGAACAGCAGCTCGTCCAGGGCCTTCTGCGTCTCCCAGACCTCCAGCTCTGTGCGCTGCCGCAGAAGGGCCAGTGCCCGCTCCTGCTTCTGCTGGGCCAGCTGCAGGGAGGGCCCAGGCCTCAGGATTCCTGGGACCCAGCCTGCTACCCACCACAGCTCCCGGCAAGCCCTCAGCCGGAGAGGGCAGATGGGTGCCCCCCCAACACGGCAGGACCCTCCCTCCAGCCCCCTGACTTGCTCCTCCTGCCTGGAGCCTCCCCCACCCTGCCCCCCTCCCCCAGCTGGGAACGTCCTGGGCCGGTCTATTTTCTCTCCCTCCGTGCTCTCCTCCCTGCTCTCGCAGCCTCCCCCGCTGAAGAGCTGCCCGGCTCTAAATTCGACAGTTCCCTGCCGTGGAGCCTCCTCTACTCAGCTTCGGGGGACAGAGCTCCCAGCTCACCCCAAACAGAAGTGGTCTAAGGGGACATAGCTGTCATCAGCCTGACAGAACAGGGCGGACACACCTTCAGTGACTCGAGGAAGCTCAGAGACTTCTGCTGGATGGCAGCCAGGTGACCCGAACGCAGCCCGCCAGGCTCCCACTGACCTGCGGAAACCACGGGGAAGGGGGCAGTGAGTGGCCTGGGGCGCCCTTGGGCCCCCTGCTCAGCCTGAGTGCTCTTGACAGGCAGGGAAACAGGCACTGTGGGAGGAGTCCAGGCGCCGGCTCCTGGGGGCAGGGGGCTGGGCTGTGCGCCAACCACGCCTGAGGAGAGCCCCTTGCTCACACGTCCAGGGAGGCCTGGAAGGGGCCGTGGCTGCAGAAGAGACAGATGGCTGTTTCATGACCTCGACCTCCCCCAGGGGCTCACTCTGCCCGACCCTCGGCCACACTCCCCCCAGGAGCAATGACCCGAGTCTGCAGAGACGACAGGGGCCAAGAACACCTTGGGGTGTTGGGGGCTTTGCCACCAGGCAGACTTCGGCTCGTCATGTGTTCACCGGGTAACCTGGAACAGATCACTACCTACCAGAGCTTCCGTGGGGAGACGGAGGTTCCCACCTCCCCAGTAGCGAGATGATTTAATAATGCTCAACGGTGCACACTGTAATCACGGCGATAGTAATGACCATGGCTGGGGGGTGCGCGCTAACACAGGCAGAGAGGTGCAGGCCCGAGGGCTCCTGGGATCTCTGGGATTGTTCCGGAGTGTGAGCATGAAAACCTCAGCCTCCCAGGATTGGAAAGTCCCCGAGGGCAGCCCAGGGGCTCCTTTTTCCCCTTGGTGGGAAAGTTGATGCTCCTCGGCCCGTGGAGGCTGCCTCTAGGGGTGATACCATGGTCGGAGGGGAGGCCAGTGTGCTCCTTCCTTGCCCCACCCTCCATTTTCTCGGCCTGGGTCCTGGTGAGAGCAAGCAGGGGAGGGCATGAAGGACAGTGGGCTTGCTCTCAGGCCCCGTGCCCCCAGTCTGTGGATGGTGGGGCCCTCCTGATGACTCCTTGGATAAGCTAGTGAGTATGCACAGAGAATAGCATCCTCTTCCTGTGCTCTCCTTCCAGGACAGAGCAGCTCAGCTCTCCATGTTTAGAGCGGTTAAAGAGCTGTGAACAATAGCTAAACCAGTTCCTGGGCATTTCCACAGCAGCTGAGAAGACTCTGAAGCACCAAGCCCAGGTGAGAAGCAGGGCTCTGGCCACCGAACATGTACCGAGCACTTGGGTGATGCTTGGAGCGCTCCCTCCTCCTCCCCGCTACCTTGCTGCTATGGGAAATGAAGACACTTTCAGGAATTGGTTTAAAGTGTCTGTTCTGAGCTGAAGTTCCCTCAAGAAGGGAAAAACCCTCCCGTGCTTTGGTTTTGTGGTCCTCGAGAGAGGCTGAAGCCAAAGAAAGGGCCCAGTCCTCCACCAAGCCCCACCAGCCAAAGCTCCCGTGGACCCTCCTCAGGTACCTAGGAGCTGCAGAGGCCCGAGGCCCCAGCCCTGTGGCTGAGGAGGGAGGTGTGGGAGATCAAGATTTGGCCATCCTAAAATATATCTCTTTACCTTGATTGTTTTCTCTGAGGGACATTTGACCTCCCCCACTACCTGCCTAAAGAATTTGACATGGTGGCTCCTTCCTGGAACAGATCTTCTATCATGATGGCTGTAATGATAATGTAAAATAGATGTTACAATGGGAGGGGCACCAAGCCCCTTTTATCAAAAAACTCTCTCTCTCCCTGACCACATTATCTATAGATGACCCTGAAAAGAACTGTCTTCCTGCCCTCTGCAGTCCCAGACCACTACCCACCCCCAACACGTTCCTCACCTTTAGCTGCAATACTTAAGCAAGCAGCTTAGACAGAGGGACAAGTTGCTCATTTCTGAGTTTCTCCCATGTATACATGTTATTAAACTTGGTATTATTTTCTCCTGCTAACCTGTCTTGTTGATTATTTGGCCAGCCATAAGAACCTTAAGGAAAAGGGCAGAGGGAGATTCTCCCTCTTCCCCCGACAGAGGGTTCCTGGTCATCTCTGGCCACAGGAGCACCCCCGACAGGTCACCAGGGAGACACAGGCTGCATGCCCCTGAGCTCTGAGCTGTGACCCAGGAGAAAGCAAGCTGTCCCCGAGATGGGCATGGCCCTGGCCGGCCAAGCAGCTGGCAGCCCCTAGAGACGCCAGAGTCACCCTGCTGAGCAGAGGATGGCACTGGTCTCGCTCCCCAACTCCTCTAATGACAACTGGTGAGAGCCCCAAGAATCCAGCACCATAGACTGCCCCACAGTGCCCGGCAGCTGAGGATCCAAGGAGATGGTTTAATACACGCTGAGCAGCTGGAAGCTGTTGTTATTGCCAATAGTGATGATGCTGATAACGCTGACAACCAGGGGTGTTCTCAGTTACGGGGCTGGGGCCGGGGAATCACAGCCTCAGGTCAGAGCGAAGCTGAAGGCCCGCCCCCTGGGGTGGGAGACCCCGCGTCTGAGAGCGAGAGCTCCGCTGTCCAGCAGGCAGCCGGCAGACACACGTGCTGGTTCCATTTAAACTTAAGAGGAAATAAAATGTCCAACTCCACTCCTCAGTCACGCTGGCCACATTTCAATGGCTGGACAGCCAAGGTGGCTGGTGGCTACCCTACTGGATAGCCCAGAATTTAGAACATTCCTCTCATGGCAGAACGTTCTGTTGGACAACAGTGTTAGATGTTTGAGTCTAGAAAGTTCTGCCGGATAACACCGTGCTGGATGTTTGAGTCTAGAACGTCCTGTTGGACTGCTGGTCTAGATGTTTGAGCCTAGAAAGTTCTACTGGACGGCATTGCCTCCACTGGTAAAACCTGGAGCCGAGTAACTCAGAGCTGGGTTGGAATTCCTGCTCTGCTGTTTACTGGTCAGAGATGACGGATGCCTCTCTGAGCATCGGGTTCCTCTTCCATAAACATGGGCGTGAGGATGAGACCCACCCCTGAGGCACGGCGAGACCAAGACGCTGTGTGACACGCAGGGCCTGGCCTAGGGGTACTTGGGGCGCTCAGTGTTCATTCATGCTTTCAGCAGTTGTTCCCCGGGCACCCCAAGCATGGCAGGGCTGTTCCAGGGGCTGGGGCTGCAATGAGAACCAGACTCTCAGAGTCTGGACGTGGCCCAGAGACAGATGCACAAACATGAGTTCAACACCCACAGAGCAGGCTTTGACAGGGTGAGCAGCAGCACCTGACCCAGCCTGAGTGTTATCTGGGAGGCTTCCTGTAGGAGGCGTCTGACGCGAGCCCAGCACAGGCACCCCTGGTGGTGCTCACTGCTTGGTGTCTGGCTCCCAGAGGTCCTGCTCAGCACTCCAAGCAGGAACAGCTTGGATTTCAAACGACTCTTTGGGGCTGCCTGTGGTCTCAGGTTAAAGAGATCTGTCAGAGAATTGCAGTCCGCACACGCAGAGAGGAGACCCTGCCTAGCCCGACGGGGTTGCAAGGGCAGCTGGCTGAGGGCTCGGCCTCTTCACGCAGGAGGGTGAGAACTTGGGGTGAGCCATTGCCCCATCGCCCAACCTGCTCCCCACGTCCAGGGAGAGGAGCAGGTTTTTCTGGAGGGCCTGGCACCTGGCCTGCTCAGGGTCAGCCTGCAGAAGCTGCCAGCACCCCCGGCCAACATTTCCACCCAGACCAGACCTCAGGGGCTCCAGGAGGGACGTCCTCACTGAGGCGGGTGGCTGGAGGGACAGCTCTGCCCTGTTCCCTTTCTCTGGAAGGCACAGCAGTGTGGGTGGCCCCTGGGGACCCCGAGGCCCCAGGGAAGCTGGGCTGGTGCACCCTTTACCAGGTCCCTCCTTTCCCAGGAGCTCTGTGGCCCGGGCCCTTGTCCAGCTGAGAGGCACCCGAGGGAGGGGGCGGCTCTGCAAGAAGGGGCTGCTGATGTCAGTTCTCGTCTGTCCTGGCCCTGTCACCCCTGAACGTGCCTCGAGGGAATGAACCCGTGGGAATGCTCGCACCTTCCAGACCCGGGATCTGTGGTCCACAGTTCAGGGATGTTATCCTTCCAGCCAGTGACTGACAGTTTTCCCTTGGGGATGCAGAAAGGGTGTCCTTCTCTGCCCCTCCCCACGGGTTCCAGGAGGGGCTGCCTGCCCCGAAATGCCGTACCACCTCCAGGCCCCCGCCACGGGCATCGCACGCCCCGCACGCGTGGCTGTCCTCACAGCTGACCGGCCTTCTGTCTTAACTCCCCAAGTCCTCACATCACCACATCTGACAGATGGGGGAGCCGATGGTCAGGAGGGGCCGGGGCTGCCTGAGCTCTCCCAGCTTTCCAGAACACACGGCTGTGCCCAGGTTCCCAGCAGCTGCCCCAGCTGCCGTCGGACCGGCCCTGGCGAAGGTCTTCAGGCAGCCAAGGGCCCAGGTGCGGAGGCCGTGGAGAGAGGGGCAGTCTGCTCTGTCCCCTGAAGCCGCCGAAGCAGGTGGTTCCCAGGCCCGCACCCTCACCTTGCTGCAGGGGCACCCCCGGCAGAGCCTCCCAGGGGGCTCTGGCATCGTGGCCCACCCAAGAGTAGGGAGCCTGCTACTGCTCGTCTCCTCAGTGATGTGAACGGGGGTGCTGGTAAAGAGAGGGCTCCCCTTCCGAGGGGAAGGCCAGAGCCTGACCCCCTTGCAGGATCCTGGCCAGGAGGCAGCCACCCTGCTGCGGTCAGGTATTGTCCTTGACCCTCCCAGAGGCTGGTCTGCCCCCTGTTCAGCCAGCCTTCCAGAAAGACAGCGCAGTGGGGGACAGACTACTGGCATCTGGGTCTGAGCTCTGGTCCCAGCCATCCCTGGGTGCCCCCAGGCAGCTCACTGTCCCTCTCTGGGCTGCACTTTCTGGGGCGAGGAGGGGCTGGAAGCTCTAGCTGGGAATCTACCCCCTTCTGGTAGATTCTCCTCCTTGGCACTTATCCCTCAGGACCTGACGTGCTGTGTATTGTCACTTGTGCATCTTCTGACCGAGCGCCCCCCTCAAAAGGCAGGTGCCTCGAGGACAGGGTCTGGTCTTGGGTCAGAGCCAGGCTCAGCAGGTGCCCAGCGAGCGTGTGTTGAATGAGGGAGGGAGGAATGAACAAGGACATTGGGAGGCTACTGAGGCTCTGGGCAGAGCCACAGGCTGGGATCCCCTGCAGCCCCCACCGGAGGCTGGGAGAGTCTCCCAGAATAAGAGGCTAGGGAGGGAGGGAGAGAGACCGTGGGAGGGGGATGGCACAAACTCTTCCTCCCTCAGAGGGCTCAGGTGTGAGCCCGACAGGCCCCTTCTACACGCACACACTGCACATGCGTCCACAGCTCACACACGATCCTCTGGGTGGGCTGGAGGAGGCCTGGCCCTGCAGGCGTGTTTTGGTAGCCCCTGGAGGGTTTTTGCCCCCAACCCGGAAACCAGCCCCTTTGCCCTCCCTGGCCTGTGGTCCTGAGTCTGCCAGGGAAGGCCAGGTGTCTGCTGGGCACACTGCAGGTCCCAAACCGGGAAGGGCCTGCCACACTCCCAGCTGCCCATGGAGGAACAGCTTTGAGCCCAGCTCTGTGGGACTACGGAGCACAGGGCTGAAATTCCTCCCCGCCCTCCCCCAGGCACCAGGGGACAGCGGGGCTGCTAACTGGCCCCCTGGGCTTTCGCAGGCCACTGGGCCCCACAGCCTCACTGTTCCCTGTGGGATGGGCAGCCCCCACCCGCCTGTAAGGAGGTACAGGTTTTATCGGGGGCCGCCCCGGGTGGCTGGGGTGGGGTTGGGGGGTTCCCTCTGAATGTATCCGCAGTGCCTGATTCTACAGGCAGACATCAGCGTGTTTCACTCCCATTTTCTTAAAACTTTAGAAGAAAATCAACTGAAAAACAGCGATTAACCAGCAAAAGTGCATCCCAGGCCTTTCAGAGTCGGCACTCGGTTCCCAGCTGCTGTGACGGCCCCTCCAACTGCCCCCGCCCCGAGCCCACACTGGACAGAAATGTCCCTACGTCCAGCCCATGTCCCACTGCACAGGCCCTCGGGACCCGGGCCCAGCCTGCTGTCTGGACAAAGCCCCCAAACCTGGGAGAGGGGAGTGGGCACTGAGCAGGGGCACCACCTCCACGCCCCCTGCCACGCACCAGCTCTGGGGCCCTCAGCAAGTCCCCTCCTCTGTGACCCGGGAACAAACACCCTTCAGCAGCACAGAAGGCAGAGCCTGGGCCAATGGGGCTCTGAGGAAGTGTCTGTGGGGTCCCACGTCTGCAGAGCAGCCCCAGGAGCGGCTGGTAATGAGATAAGCTACTGGTCCCCCTCGGAGGAACTATCAGTCATGGCACAGGCATGGCAAGAGCACGGAGCAGGCAGCTGGATCCCACATGCCTCCGAAAAACTTTAATACTGACGCGTGGACGCTCTCCACGCATAGAGAGTAGAAAAGCCTCTCTCTACACCCGCAGGACGTCGCCGGAGCGTTGGGCAGTGGAGGCGGTCCCCGGTGGACCTCCCCGGCCACCCGACCAGCCAGCCCAGGGCCTGGCCGCAGGCTCGCCCTTACCGCAGCTCCGGACAGTCCAGGGCGTGACCAAGCCCGCCCCTCTGGCCCATGGCATCTCCGGCCGCAGGGAGCCGCAGGTGGGGTCCAGTGTGGCTGGCACTCCTCGTGAGCTGGGGACACAAAACACGTGTGAGCAGGGTCGGGCAGTGAACATCCACGAGGTAGGAGGCAGCCGGGGGACTGGGGGGCAGGAATCTGGGCTCCTGGGGCCTGAAGCAGCTCTCAGACCCACACAGCGTCTAGGGCGGGACCCAAGAGCCAGAGGCCTATGAGGCCTGGGCCTGTGACCAGAAGGCCAGGAGGGCAGCGGTGAACCGGTGGCCCCTCTAGATGCCGACACTCACAGTGTCCCCCAGCTTGGCAGGGCCTCATCTGTGAAGCAGCGGCTAGGGGCTCTGCACTCAGGTCCTGGGGGGACCAGCTCCTGGCAAGAGCAAGGGCGGCTGAGGCTTGGCTTCCACAGTTGGGCACTAGAGCTGGGATCAGAGTGCCCGTTGCCCACTAGCCCACACCTGCCCTGGGTCTGCTCCTGCCCCAGGCCCTTTGGGGAAAGCTGCAAGTGGCCGCTCTGGGAGTGACAGGCTCTTCATCTCCATCAGCCCCTCTGCCATCTGCGAAGGGGCACTGTCCACCAGGCCCAGAGTGGAGCGGGGTCCACGCACCAGCTCTAACCCTCCCCACCATCTTCTCGAGGCAAACACTGCCGCCCGTCCCTGGGGGGCCTGAGCCGGCCAGGTGACTGAGGAGGCAGGGGTCAGACCAGGCTGGTAGGACCCAGAGGCCTGCCCTCCATCAGGGCGAGCTCAGCTCCCACCCGAGGCTGGCCAGCATGTCCGATAACAGGATGAGGAGGAAGGCATGACGTCGGGCCTCTCCCAAGAGGGCAGCGACCCAGGTTGGCGGGGGAGCCGCCGAGCACAGGTGAGCAGCAGCTGCCCAGAGTAGGGGCTTTAGGGGCACAGAAAATGAATGTGTAAACGGGGTGCACACAGCCCGGCCTCGCTTCATGTTTCTCAGTAGGACACGCAGCGACCCAGGACCTGCTCCAGTGACCGAAGACGCCAGCCACGCCTGCGGGCCATGGAGCCCGGGGCAGGGACTTGCCCTCCTCCAGCAGCCCTGGGGCCCACGGGCCACAGGTGTTTGTCCAGCACCTGCTGTGTGCCAGGTGCTGTGTGGGGTCTGGGGGTGACCCATCACCGGGCTCCGCCCCACAGCTCACAGTCTTGCAGGGGAGATGGCGTGGAAAAGAGTGTTCCAGAAAGAGGGAGCAGCCCTGGGGCTGAAGAGGTGAGGGACGGGCCCAGGGGCTGGAGCCAGGGCTGCTCCAGGAACGTGTGCCCGAGAAGGTCTTCTCTGGGCTCAGGCTCACTCCCTCCTTCCCGATCCCCCCCCCACTGAGCAGATGAAAAACGGCAGGAAGGAGCCACCTCCTCCAGGGCTTAGTAAAGGGAACGCCAGCAGGTCCATCGATTGATAAACCAGTGTCTCCCTCAGTTATCTAGAGCAGGGCTCAGCAAACATTTCCCGTAAAGGGCCAAATGGTAAATAGTTAGGCTTCGTGGGCCACACAGTCTCTATCTCTGGGGAAACTACTCAACTCTGCCTTGCAGCAGGAAAGCAGCCACACTCATTATGTCAAGGATGAGCAGGGCCATATGCCAATAAAACTTTATTGACAAAGACAGGTGGTGGTCCTTGGGTCTGTGGCTTGCTGACCACTGGTCTAGACTTTCTAGGGCAGTGGTTCTCAAACTTCAGTGTGCACCAGAATCACCCAGAAGACTTGGGAAAACACTGACCACTGGGCCCACCCCCAGCGTATCAGACTCAGGAAGGCCAGGGTGGGCGGGACTCTGCATTTCTAATGAGTTCCCAGGGAACAGTTTGAGAACCTCTGGACTAGGAAATGGGCATCGTGGAAAAACCATGGGCTCTTGACTCCAAGCCCTGGGTCTGAATCTTGGCTTGCCCCCACACAAGCTGGGTGATCCTGGGCAAAGTCACTTCTCCTCTCTGAGCCTCAGTTTCCCCATCTGTAAAATGTGGATGAGAACACATCTCACGGGGCCTGAAAGCACTGCATGAGGCACGGGAAGGCCCACGGGGTGGCACACACTCCAGCACCCTTTCTTCCAGAGATGCTGGGGTGGCCGGGGCATCCTGGGGCCCAAGCCCCTGGAGGGTGGGAAACCCCTGCATCCTCACTACACGATGCTAGTAACAGGCTGGGCCCCCACCCCACCACTGAGCACCGTGGTCCCAGCAGGGAAAGGACTGGGTGGAGGAAATCGTCCCACCCCAACTCAGAAACTGGCCAGAGGCACCGCCACAAAGCCAGAGCCCCATGAAGCGGTGAGTGGCGACTGCTATTTTAGGAAAGATAGGCCAGGCACCTTTCCTGGACGCCCGGAGAGGCCCGGCAAGCCCCTGGGCCCTGATCTCCTGCCACAAGGGTGCTGGGTCGTTGGGGCATCAAAATTAACCTCTGGAGAGTTCTCCCCATCCCTCGCCCCTTCTCCAGGTCCAGAGGAGGAGCTGCAAGTGTGTGCAGAGAACAGACGTCCAGCCCAATGCTGCTCCCTACTGGTGGCAACAATTCAGTTCCACCAACTAGACAAGGCTGGGCCCTGGGGGTGCTAGGGGTGGGGAGACGGGAGGGAGGGGAAGGGGAGCAGAGGCGAGGGGGAAGGGAGGGGTTGAGATGATGGGGGGAACTGCCCCTCCTCTTCAAAGTGGACACCCCCCCCCCATTTCCTAGGGAGGACTCAGGCTGCCTGGGCATGAGACTCTGCTCAAGGTCAACAGCTTTAAGCCAGACCCTGGTTTGCAGGGACCCCCAGGATGCCCTGGGGCAGCTCCATGTGAAGGGGCATCAGGCCCCCTCTCCTCAGAAACACAACCCACCCCCACGTGGATTCCCTGCTGCACAGCTACCCTGTGGCCCACCCGCAGTCCCCCCCATCTGTTACAGGCACTACAGCCGCAGGCCGGCCCCTCAAGGCCCCCTGACCCAGGCGCCAAGCTGGGGACCGCTGCCCCAGGGCGCATCAGACCCAGGAGAGAGAGGTGAGAGGGGCGGGGGTGGTCCCAGAAGCTCCGGGGGCAGGCGGCATGCCAGGGAGCCATGGGCAGGACCGGGTGGCGCTGGGGACCAGGAGGGAGCGCTGGCCGCTGGGGAAGACTGGATAGGGCCCGTGCCTGCTTTGGCACGGGAAGGAGACGCCAGGCCGGTGGGCAGACGATTGGGCTGAAGGAATAGTTGTTGGGGTGGCAGAGAGGGGTCTTTTCAGGAGAACATGTTCATGACCCAGGACTTGGGGCCACAGCTGCTCAGCGAAGGTGAGATATCGGCCGGGGACAGCTCCCTGCGCAGATCGACCTGCAGAGGCCTCGTGGACAAGGCTGCCCAGGGACTGGAGGGCCCACAGGGGCCACAGGGGCAGGAAGGACGCCCCTCCAGAGGGAGAAGCAGAACTGCGAGGGGCTGGGGCACAGAGCAGGGCACAGGAAGTGACAGCAAATGGACCGCTGGGGGAGGACGGCTGAGGCTCTGGGGTCCTGGGGTGAGAGTGGGGAGAGCAGAAGGTCCCAAGGAAAGTGGCTGCTCGCGCCACATCCCAGGCCCAGGCTGGGCCGGCCGGGTGGACAGTGGGGCAGCCGAGGTCCCCCAGTGCCCCAGCCTCAGGCCAGTCATCTGTCTGCAACTGGACTTGTGTCCCCTGGACCCATGCAAAGGGACCTGAGTGAAGTAGCCCCCAGAGAAGGCCACAGCCAGCACTGGGGACGGAAGCCACAAGAAGGACGGGAGGACTGGACGGGAGGACTGCCTCCATCAGTGTCCTCTGGACACAATCAGCCTGCCAACCCCATGGGCCACAGTATCTCCCCCAGGCCCTGAGCCAGTGCAGAGGAGCGTGGCGAGGAGGGGACAGCACGGGGGGCCTTTGGTCAAGGGCCTACTGCGCACAGCCCAGCCAGAGAGGTGTCTGGGAGCTACTGCGTGAATGGGGCTCGCCCGCCCGGCCCTGGCCAGCGTCAGAGCCAGCACGACCTGGTCCAGGTTCGGGGGCTTCTCTGGACGGGTCAGGAGCTGTGTCACCCCCCTGCCAGGCCTGGCTGCACCCAGACTCCTGGCCTTGGCCAGCGCAGGCTGGGCACCGAGGGGCACGAGAGGCAGCCCCCAACAGCTCACGGCACGGCCAGGGCGTGAGGAGGGTGTTCCTGGGCTTACCTCCCTGTGAAGGAGCCGAGGGTCTGGCAGGATGCCGCGTTTCTCGCCAGCCTCTTGTCCAGCTCCGAATGCCCGTCCTCCATGAAACCTTTGGAGAGATGGGCACCAGGACTGCACCTCCCACACGTCGGCAGGAGTGGAAGGGCTGCTGGTCGGTGGGGAGGGGGGGGGGGGGGGGCCACCCACCCCACAGCAGGAGGGCCCTGGGCGCCTCGTCCCACTTCCCTGTCCCTCCACGGGATGCAGGGCAGGGAGGTGGCGGGCACGTGAGTCTCAGGACCAGGCCTCACCCCTCCTCCAGCCAGAGCCAAGACGGTGACAGTGGCTGAGGCTGACGGAAAACTCAGCATGTGCTCTGCACTGTGCCAGGACTGTCACCTACGTCACCTCCTCAAATGGCCTGGACAACTGCTATGGCATTATCATTATATCCCCCCTCTCAAGAGAAGAAACCAAGGGACAGGGAGAAAGTGAGGTCCCCTTGGCCACCGTCGGGGCTGGCAGCCATCCGCGGCCCGGGGGGCAGCCCTACCTTGGGGCTTGCTGGCTTGGTGGCCCCTCAGGCTCCCGCTCTGCCGCCACTCCCAGCCAGGGCTCCACGGCAGCGTCTCGTCGTCCGGGAGGCGGGTGGGAGAGAGAAGCGGCCTGGCCTGCATGTCCTCCCAGTCCCGGGGCGACCCCCTGCCCCCGCTGGGCATCCAGTCTCCAGGGCAGGCTGGGGCTGCGGGCATGGGGGCAGCAGGCTCGGTGCTGGGGCAGGAGGGTGGCAGGTCTGAGACCGGGTCCCCGTGGGTGCCCACTGCCTCGGACTCCTGCAGCTTCGCGGTCAGGATGTCGATCCGCTGCTTCAGGACGTTGGCCATGGTCTCCAGGGCCTGCAGCCGGGCCTGCTTGTACCGGAAGTGCAGGGGGCCCGGCGTGCCGAGGCGCTCGGCCTCCTCGGGGTCCAGGTAGATGCACAGCTCCGGGCGCGGGTAGCGGGTGGTCAGGTCCTGGAGCTTCAGGGGGCCCATCAGCAGGGGGCCACCACCCCAGCCGTCTTGGGGGCCTCCCGTCCCCAGAGTCTCAGCGTGGTGCAGGGCTCTGTTCAAACACAGGCAGAAGCTGCAGGGAGAGGGCGACAGTCAGGCCTGGTGCAGCCGTCCCCGGTGGCGTGTGCGAAACACATGTGTGCAGGGATGGGCACGGTGGCAGCTTCTGTGACAGGCCCAGTGTCTGTTTACACGTCTGTTTATGCCCAGGGGGCTGGTTACGGGGCGTCCACACAGCGGGCCGCACACAGCTGTCAGAAAGGTTGAGGATGTGGGCAACTCCTACGTCTCAACAACAAAACCCCAATAACCCGATTAAAAAACAGGCAAAGGACCCGAACAGACGTTTCTCCAAAGATACACAAATGGCCAAGAAGCACAGGAAAGATGCTCAATGTCACTGATCATCAGGGAAACGCAGATCAAAACCACCATGAGATCCCACCTCACACCCGTCAGGATGTCCACTGTCAAAAATAATAATAATAAAAACAGAAAATAACAAGTGTTGGGGGGCCGGCCCCATGGCGTGGCAGTTAAGCATGCACGCTCCGCTGCTGGCGGCCCGGGTTCAGATCCCGGGCGTGCACCGACGCACCACTTGACAGGCCATTCTGTGGCGGCGTCCCACATAAAGTGGAGGAAGATGGACACGGATGTTAGCTCAAAGCCGGTCTTCCTCAGCAAAAAGAGGAGGATCGGCATGGATGTTAGCTCAGGGCTGATCTTCCTCACAAAAAACAAAAACAAAACAAACAAAAAATTAAAAATACACAAATAAAATTTAAAAAAAAAGAAAATAACAAGTGTTGGAGAAACTGGAACCTTGTGAACTGTTGGTGGGAACGTGAAACGGTGCAGCTGCTGTGGAAAGCGTGGAGGCTCCTCAAAAAGTAACATACAATTACCATGTGACCCAGCAATCCACACCTGTATACACCCCAAAGAAGTGAGAGCAGGGGCTTGAAGAGACATTTGCACACACATGTTCACAGCACACTATTCACAAGAGCCAAAAGGTGGAAACAACCCAAGTGTCCATTGATGGATGAATGGATAAATAAAATGTGGTGTGAATATATGGTGGGATATTATTCAGCCTTAAAGAGGAAGGAAATCCTGACACATGCTACAAACTGGATGAACCTGGAGGGCATTGTGCTCAGTGAAAGGAGCCAGCCACAGAAGGACAATCCTGTAGGATCCCACTTATTTGAGGGCCCTGGAGGAGTCAAACCCACAGAGACAGGAAGTGGATGGTGGTGCCAGGGGCTGCGGGAGGGGATGGGGGCGAGTGTTGAATGGGGACAGGGTTTCTGTTTGGGAAGATGAGAGTCCTGGAGATGGATGGTAGTGACGGTTGTACAACAATGAGAATGTGCTTAATGCCATTGAATTGTACACTTAAAGATGGTTAAAATGGTAATTTTATGTCATGTGTACTTTACCACAATTTTTTTGTGAAAAAAAGCAGCAGCACACAATGAAGCAAGACGAGGACCCCACAGCTTTCTGCGTCCACGAGGATGAACCCCCAGCATCGCATCAGGACAGCCAGGAGCCCTCCGCCAGCTGCCCTCGGGGCGTGCTCAGTTTCTGGGTCCGGGTGTGGGTTACACATGTGCTCAGCGTGTGAACGTCCATTGAGCTGCACACTTAGGACCTGTGTCCTTGTCTGGATGTCACCAGATGTCGACTTGAAAAAGGTTAAAATGCAGACTCCTGGGCTACCCGAGATCTTGGGGAGTGGCCCAAGAATGTGTACTTTTCAGACAAAATGAAACAAAAGGGAGCCAGAGAAAGTTCCAGGGACCAGGGGAGGGGTGTCCATCCCACGTGGGGGTTGGAGAGCTGCAAAGTGGGGTGGGAGCTGAGCACTGAGGGGGTCAGCCCAAAGCCCCCTCGCAGGACACCGGCTGCCAAAGCCACATCCAGGGGCCAGGTCCAGAGTGAGCCCAGGGCAGGAGGCTCCTGGTGGGTGGCATCTTGAGGGCGACCCCGTCCTCAGCCTCCAGGCCAGCTCCCCACTCCTGCCGTGAACAGATCGTGCACAGGGAGCCTGGTCGTGAGTTCCTTGTCATGCCACCCTCTCCCCTTCATTGTGCAGGTGGCCAGGGAGAGGCTGGCACTGGCCTGAGGCCCATGTGGCATTCCATGGAGCCCTTCCCAGAGGAGGGCAGGCACTGGGAATGCCAGCCTCTAGTGGGCAGCGACACTCAATCCCCCCAAGCAGAGTGGAGGAAGTTCCCCGACCCCATGTTTCAAGATGCTGCCCGGGGGAGGACCTTCTGGACAGCTGCCCCGGCAAAATTAAAATACATGGTAGTAAAAATAAAACAAAAGCAAAGTAAGGGAAAAAACAGAAAATGAGTGTTAGCAAAAAGACGGAGAAACGGGGATCCTCCTACACCACTGGTGGGATGCAAAATGGTGTGGCTGAGGCAGGAACCAGTCCACAGGTCCTCAAAAGTTAAGCATAGAGTTACTATATGATCTGGCAATTCCCCTCCCAGGGATGCACCCTGGAGAGATGAAAACAGGTACTCAATCAGTGCATTCCTAGCAGCATGATTCATAGTAGCCAAGAGGGAGAAACAGCCTAGTGTCCATCAACTGCCCTGTGCATAAACAAAATGTGCAATATCACACAATGGAATATTACTCAGCCATGAAAAAGGAACACAGTCCAGACACACGCTACAACAGAGATGAACCTAGAAAACATTATGCTCAGTGAAAGGAGACAAACACAAGGTCATACGCTGTGGACTCCATTTACGGGAAATGTCCAGAACAGATGGATCCACGGAGATGGAGAGCAGATTGGGGGTTGCCAGGAGTGGGAGAGGAGTGAGGAGTGACCGCTAATGGGGATGCGGTTTCTCTTTGGGGGTGATGAAATGTTCTCGAAGCAGACAGAGGTGGTGGCTGCACAATACTGTGAATGTGCTAAATGCACTGAATTATTCACTTTCACACGGTTAACTTTGTGTGATGGGACTCTCACCTCAATGAAACAGATACCCCGTGATCACTGCTCTGCACAGCACAGGGTGAGGACGCCCACCCCTGCCCGGGGGAGCCCCGCCCAGGAAGTGCAACTCCACGCCTGCTACCCACCTGCCCGGGGCCTCCTGGTCCCCCAGCACCATGCCAGAGGTCACCTTGCTCCACTCCAGCACGGGCGACCGCAGGCTCCCAGGGGCTTCCAGGGCCTAAAGCAGGGGAGGACACAGTCAGAGCCCCACCCCAGGCCAGAAGACCCCAAAAGTCTGTCTCGGCCTCAAAGCTGGCCCTGGCCTCCACGGGGGTCTCGGGTGGGACCCCTTGGGGGTCAGAGGCAATGGGGTCCCTGCAGGGCCCTGTTGTACCCAGGGAGGCAGGTGTGTGGGGACCCCGGGGAGCTCAGTGGCTGAGCTGGCCGGTACCCCGTCCTCACCCGCACCCCAGCACGTACCCTGGACTGTGCAGCATGCGGGACAAAGGTCACGATGCCAGGGGTCGTCTGGGAGACCACGGGGACGGCTTTGCGCCGGACGGCCTCCCGCTGCTTCCTGTAGACCGCCTGCAGCCTCTGCCTCCTCTGCTCCAGCGCCCGCACAGCCGAGGCCTTCTCCTGCAGGGCCTGCTGCCGCCTGGCCCGCGTCCTCTGGCGCATGAAGTCCCTCAAGGACTCGGAGCTGTAGGGGTGGCCCAGGGGCCCCCGGGGCTTCGGGCAGGGCAGCGGTGCCCGCCCCTCGTTCTCCTTCCCGGGTGTGTTCCGAGAGGCACTGCGGGCAGGCAGCCAGGCGAGCTTCGCTCCCGAGGGAGGCAGGAGGGAGCCCCGGCCTTTGCAGGGGGTGCTGGCCCTCTGTGTGAAGGAAGCGCTCCAGGGCCGCTGGGCGGGAGGGCTTGCCCTTTCCAGAAGGCTCCGTGGTCCTCGGGCAGCGGCCTCCCAGTATTCACGAGTGGCCCAGGCCCTCTGGGGACAGGAGGCCTGCCGGGCCGAGGCGCTCCACGGCCGCTGCGGGAAGGGGCCCAATCTTTCAGAGGGGCTCCCAGGCCGCTGGAAGGAGAGGTCCTGTCCTTGGGCCGCCCAGGCCCTCTGCGGACAGGAGGCCTGCCGGGCCGGGGCGCTCCAGCGCTGCCTGGTAGGGAAGCTCCCAGCCCTCTGGAAGGAGGGCTGCCCCCCTACTGTGGCCCAAGGACTCTTCGAGAAGGAGCCCTGCGCGGCTGGAGTGCTCCAGGGGCCCTGCTGCCTCCTCCCAGCCAGGTCCTGCAGCCGCAGCTCTGAGGGCCCGAGCTCCAGCCCTGCCCTGGGGTGGTGGTCCCGGGCCAACTCCAGCCCAACCTGCAGTTGCTGGCGGAGGCCTCGAAGGATGGCCGGAGCAGTGTGGATGGGCATGGGCTGATGGCAGGAAGGCAGGTTGGGCGTGTTGACAGTCAGCTGCGGGCCACTGCAGACAGAGGCTGGGCTGGGTGCCCGGGGGCGGAGAGGGGAGCTCTCAGCAGCTCGTACTGTCTTGCTGTCTCCTGCAAAGACAGGCAGCTCAGGGCCAGTTCCCCCACCCAGGGGGACCCTTGGTCCGCCCCCAGGGAGGTGCCCTCTCGCCTCCGCACTCCTCATCACCCGCAGAAGCCCTGTGGGGACAGGTGCCACGTTGGGGTGACCCGAGGCTGTGCCTGGGCACCTGGCACAGAACTGCCCGCTCTGGACACGGTGAAACTGAGCACACATGGGGTGTGACGGGCGTCTGCTGGAGAAGCCAGCTCCTGTCCTGCGGCCCTAAGTCGGCAAAGCCTCGATGGCCGGCCCTGCCTCCTGGGAGCCAAAACAGCGCCTCTCGGGGACGGAAATCCTTTTCTGAGGCTTTTAAACAAAATGACTTCCCAAAGTCCCGTCTGATGGGGGCCTGGAGGGCGTCTGACAGGTCGCGGGGAGGGCAGTGCTGCTTCTGCACCCAATGCCACCTCCTTCCCAGGCGTCTCTCCCTCCGTGCCACCCCCAGGTGCCACAGCAGAGGAGGGCAGAGCCCCAGGCGGAGGCACGAGGTACCTAATTCCGCGGCGGGGGCCAGGTCTCCCGAGGGCGCCTTGCTCTGGAGCCTGGGGATGACGGGAGGGGGCCCGAGCAGCACCCTCACCAGGGCTGGTCCTTTTCTCCAGGCGGAAACACCAACCAACTCAGAGTCTTGAACAGAGAAAACACACCCAAGAGCTGGGAGTCCAGGGCTCTCCGAACGCCAGCCCAGATGAGGAGGTTGGCACCTCATGGAGCCCCAGGAGACCAATTCATATGCTCCTGGGAGGCTCGGGATGACATCCCTAGTGTCCAGGCCCCTCTGGGGCAGAGCTGCACCCTCAGCCACTAGCCAGCAAGAGGAGGGGCTGAGTCCCAGGATGACCCTGAAATGTGACCTGACTTCTCTGACTTCGAGTCTCTTCTTCAGTAAACAGAGGTAATAAAATGTGTTCCCTACGGCTTGTCTGTAAAACACTCAACACGGACCCAGACACACCACACATGCTCAGTGCGTGCTGGCCAAAAATAATGATAGTAACGTAGAAATTAATAAAACAAACCTCAACTCAGTTGGAGCTGAGAGCTCTCACCCCATAACATGTGGTCAATCACTCCAAATAGGAAGTACAACTACTTTACTCCTGAGGGAAGATTTCTCTCTCTACCTGGCAACAGGTCAGCCAATCAGAAACACCACAGCCCAGCCAATCAGAAACACCACAGCCCAGCCAATCAGAAATGCCACAGCTCAGCCAATGAGAATCTGTTGCCGCCCTGATCTGTTTCTCCCCCAATGGACTTTCCTTTAGAACAGCCCCACCCTCTTGCCCTTTTTCTCTATAAAAGCAGCTCCCTCCTTTGTTCTCTGGATTTGCATGTGGTTTTCCATAGCATGCACATCGTGAATAGCTATTCTTTTGGCTATTCCCAAATAAACTCGTTTTGAGGATAAAATAGGTGAATTTGCTTTTTAAGGTGACAGTAATAATAACAATCCACCAGCACACACATCACCATAGGGCAAGTGGCGGGTGACATTATAGCTGATCATTTGCACTGGGCTGGAGAAGATTAATTTTTAAGCTGGTGATACTTAAAGCTGTTGGGGGGGGTCAATGAAGATGCCCAGGCCGGAATGCGCAGGCCCCCCACCCCCCAAACACAAACGAGCTTTCTTTAATAGATGTCGCCACATAATAAAGGCCATTAATCGAGGTTTTACTTCATAATCCAGATTACGCTCACCAAATGCCAATATCAGCCCCACTGTCATTCCAAACCCATCCACAAGGGCCCTGGGAGAGGCAGCGGGTGGTGGCTGGCCTTTAGCTCACATCCACACTTGTGCACACACTCAGACACACACGTGCTGCACCTCCCCCAGGGGGCCAGCCCACGGCAGCACCACCGGAAACACCACCACCCAGGCCAAGACTTCTCCTGCCCCCCAAGGAGGGGGCATTTCTGCCAAGTGAGGGTGCCTTCCAGCAGAGACCATCCAGAGAGCTGACATCCAGAGTGGGCGGGCAACAGATAGGGTCAGGGCATCCCTAGCACACACTGCCCCCCAGACATGGCACCCTCCCCAATGCCCAGACCCAGAGACATCAGCCACAGGCCTGAGGCTGCAGATCCAGGAAGGGGAAGGGGCCATGCAGAGCCAAGCCCTCCAGAGGCCACACCCCTGGGAAAGGCCCCTGAGGCCACGCCCTGAGGCCACATCCCCTGCTGGGACAGGAACTGAGGTCACGCCCTCTTTAAGCCACGCCCCTCTGGGACAGGTCCGCTGAGGCCACACCCTCCACTGCCAGGCCCCTGGGGGACTCCAGAGGTTAAGAGGTTGGTTTCAGGAGCCCCAGACCTGGGTTTAAATTCCGGCTCTGCTGATCACTAGCTCTCGGCCTTGGGCAAGAAACTTAATTTCTCTGTTAAGTTCAGTTTCGCCATCTGTAAGCACCTCCCCACAGGGCCACAGGGATGAAAAAGTGGTCACTATCACTGCAGGAGTTGGGTCCAGAAGGGTCAGGATTCTGCTGGCTCAGGGCAGAGTCAAAGGCCAGGGCTGAGGCCAGGACTGCCCACCTGGCGACATGTGGGTTTTGAGTGGGACGGTGGGGCTGGGATCGCCAGCAAGGGCCCTCCGTCCTGCCCTATAGTTGCTGAAATGCACAAAACTGGCCTCGGCTGGGGCACTGGGCAGGGACCCCGCCAGGTGGGGAGGGGGCAGCCTGCTGGCCAGGCCCCTCTCAGCACCCCCCGCCCCACAGGCCCCTCCATCACTGGCTGCTCAGCTCCCCCGTTAGCCCGCCAGAGGGGTCCAGGTCAATAAATGGGTCCTGATGGGCACATTTTTTTCTTCCACTGAGCAGTTTAATGGCAATTAATTTTTTTACGAGAGGATTTTTAATCTGTGGAAATGGATGAAGTCCCCAAGTGCCCTGTCAGAAGTTCCAGGGCCGACCTAATCTATGATAAAAAATGCAAAATGAGGTGATATAATCTGAAATTAAATATCGGGCTTCATTTTCCTTCAGCCCGGATGGATGAATATTTTATAACTATTGTGATTTAATTTTTTGTTAACTACAGCAAATTTCCAATTCATCCAATTCCCAAGTCCTGTGGTTCTGACCTCTGAACCCAAACTCATCTCTCCTTAGCCCAGCTGTGACTTCATCACTGACAGAAACTAATGGTCAGCTCCGTCAGGGTGACACGGTGGTTACGATGATGAATGCAGCCCGTGGCACGCCCTTTTGACCCAGTGTCAGGCAGAAAGCAGGTCATTTTTCAAGTGAGCCATTAAAATAAAACAAACCAAAAAGCTGAGGGAGGGGGAAGACGATGATGCAGAAAATTGTTATATTTTGTGCATGTTCAGTGGGCCTTCCGGAACCTTCTCTGTGTCTCCCAGCATCCCTCCCTCTCTGGTTCCAGTGAAGGTTTCCCCTCCTCTCCCACGTCCCCTCTCACCCAGCTGAATAAAAGCATCTGTCCCAGTGCCACGCAGCCCTGCCCAAGCTTCCCCCCATCACTCAGGGCCCATCTCAACAAGGCAGGGACAAGGAAGATATCCATTCATTCTGCTGGAACCGCGGCTCTCCCACAGAGCAGAGGCGGCGGGAGTCTGATGACGTGGGGCAGAAACACGGGTGCCTGGGCCTGGGCAGAGCACACACCGTCTACTCTCGGTCCAGGATTGTGATCTCATGCCATGGGGGAAACTGAGGCATAGAGATGTGCAGGAGCAGCTCGAAAGCTGCACCCCAGTGCTGCATACTCTTAGACTGAGGGCCCCACAGAGCCGAGCTCAGCCCCAGTGGGTAGGGTTCTCCCCACCTGGGGGCTCTTGGTGGTGTCCCCAAACCCTGTGAAGTGGTGGTCCCAGAGCCCGGGACCTGTGAGAGGACCTTGAAAAGGTGCCCAGGTGTGGTCCCAGGTACACACAGCTGGGATCTCTCAGGTGAGGAGCAGAGGCCTGAGCTGGACAGGTCAGGACCCAACCTGGGCTCGCCTGTGCTGCCCTGGGCAGGCTGTTGGACCTCTCTGAGCCTCGGTTTCCTCATTCATAAAATGGAAGCAACCTTTCAGAGGGAGCTGTTAGGATCACGTGAGTCATGTCCGTAGAGTGCACGGGACACAAGGAGCCAGGCAGTGTGTATGGCGACTCCACCCTGAGCGCCGAGAACATTCTAAAGGAGAGCCCCAGAGGGACGCTGCCTCCCTCGTTCCCCACACACCCACACCCAGCCCTTCCTGGGGGTGGATGGATCCACTCGGGTTCATCCCACAAGCTCCACAAAAGCATCCAGGCTACACAGCCAGGTCCTTGCTGGGCGCCACTCCCCGCCCAGCCATCAGGGAAGAGACGCCCGAACTAGAAATTGCTCTGTGACTGCAGGCCCACCACTGCCAAGACCCCTTAATAGAACTCTCCCAGGACACATTTATGAAACCATCGTCACACAAGTGGTCAGCTGACTTGCACCCCTGCATGACAGCTCCAAGTGCTAAAGGGGCTGGAGAGAGTGGACACTGCCCAAGGCCTTTCCCGTCACCAAGTGCTCAGGTGAAAGGAGACCGTGGGCTCGCTGCCTGGAATTCTAAATCCCACACCAGGGTGGCAGGGAGACTCACGCCCTCGATCAGACTCCCCGCTGCTGAAGGCAGCAAACAGGAACACTCGGTAAGCGATGCCGTGTAACAGAAAAGCAGACACGTCTTCAACCACACACGTTCCGGGCCGCCTGCCTTCATGGACCGTTTCAGACACGGCAACACTCGTGTAGCAGCAGACTACAAATGCGTACTAAAGCGTGGCCAAGTGGCTCTGTGTCATTATAGACGTTCTCTATCTAGGGCTGTTGAAAGGATGGCTAACCGCACATGGGTTTGCAGACTTTCACTTCATCACAACGGATGACCCCCTGCCCCGGCCGTCACCTGCCACTCCAGTGATGGCCAGGGTCTACAGTCACCGGAGACACAGACGCCCATGCTGCCCACCTCCCTGCACCGCAGATCCCCACTCAAGCCCGGCTCCTGCCAATCCCAGATGCCCCCCCGAACCCTGCGCCCACAGTGCTCCAGGCACCGCAGGCAGCCAGCCATCCTGGCACCAGAAACGAAAGCCACTGCCCACCTAGTGAGCCGGGACAGTGCACTTGTGCCCCCAAGCCCTGCCGGGGACCTGAACGAGCAAACCTTACCTTTGTCTTTGGTGGCTCTTCTAGGGGTGGGAGACTTGGGGGCCTTCTCTCTTTTGCAAGAACTACCTTTCATCCTTCTGGTTTTTTCCCGTGGAACTTTAGCAATAGGGGTGGGAGAGGAAGGAAGGGAGAAAGGGTGAGTAGTGACACAGCACACAGAACGGCCGCCTTGCCGCCCCGGACCCATGGAGGATTGTGCCATCCTGCCTGTTCCCTTGTCCTACCTGCCAGTGTTGGCGGTTGAGCGAGTGCCAGAGGGGGCACACCTGACTGTCTGACCCCTTCAGGCATTCTCCCCCAGCAGGACCGGGCACGCCACACCCTCCCTCACAGCGCACCCTGACTGCACAAATTCCCGGGCGTCTGGAGGCCAAGAACCCCGAGGACAGGAACAGCCTCCCATCTTGGTCTCCCGCACCCAGCTCAGGGCTGGCCCATGGCACTCATGTTTGTTGAATGCATAAATGACTGAATGGGCCCACAAGTGAACCCACGGCATGGCAGCCAGCCAGACTGAACATCAGCTCAGCAGGGGGAGGGAGAATGAGAGTTAGAGCTGGAGGGGCCTCCCCACGGCAGGGTCCACCCCTGGCACAACAGGTGGGGACACGGAGACCCCCAGAGGGGAGGAGGCTGTGCAAGTCCCCGGCAAGCACAGTGGCCAACCAGCGTGGACCGACTTCCTGAGGGCCAGTGTGGTCGCCTTTCTCTGCGCCGTTTGGCCTCATGTGTCTCTGTCCACAGCTGGGGTAGGAGCTGCATCTGTGAAGCACCAAAAAGCCAACCAGCCAGGGAGCGTGTGAGAGCAGGGCCGAGGGCGCAATGTCCCCGCGGGGCCGGGGGCGGCAGGAATAGACTGGCCCGAAGGACTCTCCAGGCCTCCAATGCACTGGGTCCTAGCCTTGGCCTGACCCTCCCTCCTCAGAGCCCCGACCCTGATGGCAGAAGGAGCCTCAAGACCCAGCCGGGGGCCGGCCCCGTGGCTTAGTGGTTAAGTGCGCGCACTCCGCTACTGGCGGCCCGGGTTCGGATCCCGGGCGCGCACCGACGCACCGCTTCTCCGGCCATGCTGAGGCCACGTCCCACATACAGCAACTAGAAGGATGTGCAGCTATGACATACAACTATCTACTGGGGCTTCAGGGGAAGGAAAAAAAAAAAGAAGGAGGATTGGCAATAGATGTTAGCTCAGAGCCTGTCTTCCTCAGCAAAAAGAGGAGGATTAGCACGGATGTTAGCTCAGGGCTGATCTCCCTCACAAAAAAAAAAAAAAAAAGACCCAGCCGGCACAAAAGGAGAGATCCTCTAGGACTCCCCTCATGTGAGGGACGAGAGGAGTCAACACAGAGACAGGAGGGGCTGGGGGCAAGTGTTTAATGGGGACAGAGCTTCAGTTTGGGAAGATGAAAATTCTGGAGATAGTGGTGGTGATGGTTGCACAACAATGAGAATGTGCTTAATGCCACTGAACTGTGCACTTAAAAATGGCAAATTTTATGTTATGTGTAGATTACCGTAATTAAAAAAAAGAAAGACCCAGGCCTTGCCCCCACACCCTGCTTCCAGAAGGCTCTAAAACTGGGAGGATGAAATGTGACTGCCAGGAGCTGGTGACCAATGGCACTGGGTCCTGAGGTCCCTGAGTGACTGATGGCTGAGTCCCAAATTTGGCTGACAGGCCCCAGTGGCCTCCGCGAGGTGGGGACAGGGAGGGTGACCAGTTGGATGAGCTGAGGCCATCAGGGTCCTCGTGGATGGAGGAGGAGGAAGACAGGAGCGTTTGCCATGAGCCACAGCACGAAAGGGACAGGGCAGGAGTGCCCCAGCTCCTGTGGGGAGCTGCCGGTGGCCGTGGTTGGGCCAGAGCTGGGCTCGAGGAGAGGACTCTGCCCCTCAGACCTCAGCTGCGTCTGCACTTGCTCACACATCCTGCTGGGACTGGACATACACTGGAAAGCGTGTCTGTGGCTGCTGCCCAGTGAGGTCCCCGCTCAAGTGTCGACTAACCCTCACCCCACCCTCCCCACCACGATGCCAGTGGGACGGGTGACAACTGGCCCCTGGGCACCCGACTCTCACTGCATCCTCCCCACGGCCCCGTGGAAAACCCACCCTGTTCCCCTGGGCGGGAGACCCCAGCAGCCTGGGGCATCTGGGGCAGCTGACCTCTGCTCCCGAGTCCTTCCCTCACCCTATTCTGGGGTCTCCGGAATCTTGCTGGAGTGGGGCTGCCTCTCCCTGGACTGTGGAGACAGCCTCCTCCCCCATTCCCCATCCTGCAGAGCGAGTCTGCCGAAGCCCAAACTCGCCGTGGCTCCTGCTCAAACCTCCACCGGGGCCCGCTGCCGGGGATGCAGTCCAGGCTCCTCAACGCTGCTGCCCTCCAGGCCCCGGGAGCAGCTCCTGTCCCGCCTCTCCATCCTTACCCCTCCCGTGTGTTCAGTGGGCAAGTGAGCCAAAACCTAGTGGTTCCCTCGGCCCCTGGACCCTTCCCCACCTGTCTGGAAGTCTGCCGACCCACTGCCAACCCTTCAGCACCTCCTGGGCGAGGCGGGGACACCTGGGGGACAGGCGGGCAGTGCCTCCTGCCTGCAAGATGGAACGGGGAGCCCAGGAGCTGGCAGCACCTGGAGGGCCTCAGGCCCAGTCCCTGTGGCTCACACGTGACCATGCAGGAAAGACCTCACCTATTTCGTGAAGGAGATCTCAGCCAGGAGACGCCCCTGCCCAGCTCCTCTGCCCTTGAAGCCCCAGCCCGCCCTCCAGGGCCTGCCTGGATTCCTTCCCTGCTGGGGAGGCAGAGGGTGAGAAATCTGGCTCCAGAGAATGGCAGGCTGGCTCCAAATCCCTGCTTGGCCCCTTCATGGCTGGGGTCCTTCCTGACCCTCAGTGTCCTCATCTTTGAGTGGGGATCATAACAGAGCCAATCACACAGGGGGAGAGAGAACTGCATGGAGCATGCTGGGTCCAGAACCGTGCTCCCCACACTGGGGCCTGAGCATCCAACTGGGGGTGCCAGCGTGGCCAGCCGCAGAGCCACTCACCTGAAGCCTGGCTCTGGGAGACTCTGGAGGGCTCACGGTCCTGGCCAGGGATGGCCTTGTCTTTGACTCTGTGCTCAGTTGCACTCAGGACGCCTGAGCCTGGAGCAGAGTGATAACGAGGGAGCACTGTAAGGAGAGAGATTCCGTGAAGAATTTCCAGGAAAAGGTCCCCGTTCAAAAGCTTTTAAACACAACGCCTTTGATGGAGGCCTCAGGCCTGAGCGCATCCCACAGGCCGGTCCGGACACATGCTGGTGCTCAGCTGGGAAGCCGGCTGGCGGCGGCGCGGCTTCCCAACCAGAACCAGCACAACCGTCTCCCGGCAGCGGCCGCACCCCAGAGTGTTAACTGGGGCAGTTTAGGGGAGTGAGGCACACTGAGAGCAGTGACCATTCCGTGTCATTCTTCGTGCTTTCCAGACGACACAGCAGCAGTGCTGCCTCCTTTAAGAAAAAGTCACAGAAGGACAATCCTGCAGGACTCCACTCCCGTGAGGGCCCTCGAGGAGCCACACCCACAGAGATGGGAGCTGGGATGGTGGTGCCAGGGGCTGGGGGAGGGGGTGGGGGGGAGTGTTTAATGGGGACAGGGCTTCAGTTTGGGGAGATGAGAGAGTCCTGGAGACGGATGGTGGGGACGGCTGCACAACAACGAGAATGTGCTGAATGCCACTGAGCTGCGCACTTAAAATTGGTTAAGATGGTAAATGTCATGTCATATACATTTTATGACAATTTTAAAAAACAAAAGAGTATATCTTAAAAATAATAAAAAAGAAAACATCTTTCCTGTCTCCTAGAAAAGTTATGCAGCTCCAAGGAAAGAAAAGCCAGAAGGTTTTGTCTCTACCGTCTGTCCAACAGAGAGGCTGTGCTGAATATTTCTTTAAATCCCCACCCTGGCCCTGGCCTGGACCCCACGCCCCGGGGCTGGAACATGCCTGGTCTTGAGGACCTTACAAATCCCCTGCAGGCTCTTCAGGGTGCTCCTGACCTGAGCCTCCACATACCTGACAGCGCCACCCGCCCACCCCAGCCCTCTCCCTCAAGGCTGCCCACTCCAGGCCCAGGGGACCCAGTCCCTTCCACGCCTCATGGCACACCCTGCAGGCACCCTGCCTCCATCGCATTATCCCTCTTGCTTCCATCAGCCTCCCCAGCCTGTCTCCATCACCATCCGTGAGTCAAGTCTTCTAGTGCTTAAGCCTAGCTGGGACGCACCTCCCGGGAGGACCCTAACCCCCACACGGCTTCCAGGCTGTGAGCCCCTAGCGGGGCCCGGGGAGCACGTTGTACTCCCCTCCCCAGTTGGCCACCAGCCCAGGCGGGTCCACCCAGGGGCCCAGTACAGCCTGGCCTGCGGCAGCCCCGTCCCACCCACTCTCTACCCCTTCCCACCCGCCAGCCCCTCGCCAGGGAAAGCTGCCACTGACCTGGGCAGGCCGAGGCTGGAGGGGGGTTCATCAGCTTTCGGGCCTTCCTCCGGGGGGCTGGCATGGAGCCTTTGTAGAGCCGTGAGACACTGGAGGGGGTCCAGCTGCCCAGGGAGGCACAGCTTGCCTGCCCCCGCACCTGGGCCCGGATCTTGTCCCTCAGCTGCTCTAGCCGTGGGTTGCTCTCCCTGGGCTGCCGCCGGGGCCCCGGCACCTGGCGGGGCCTCTCCTTCCAGGGCCCATGGGGAGGTGCACACGACTGGTGGCCCCCTGAGGAGCCAGAGAGGCGGCCAGATGACACTGAGCTGGACCCATCCTTGGCCTTCTCACCTGCTGACCACACCGGGTGGCTGCAGGCCTTCCCCCGGGGGTCTGGCTCCTCGGTATAGTCAGACCAGGCCACGGGGGGAGCTCCCCGTGGGGCGCCTGGCTGCTGGGAGGGCCCGGGTCCTCTCAGGGCAGCCATGAGGTCATCCTTGGCCGCAGGTGGACGGAGCCCGCCTTACCTTGGGAGAAAGAAGCAGACACGGCTGGTCAGTGTGGAGACCCGGAGGGGCTGAGCAGAACATCTCACTCTGCGCCCCCACTGTCCCCAGCACCTCCTGCTCCCTGTCCTTCTGTCTCAGAACATCCACAGACTGAGAGAGGTGCAGGGGACCAATAACATGCCCCCTATGCGTGGCGGTGCCATGACATTCTCTCTCTGACCCAACCTCACCCCTCTGAGGTAGGCACCACGATCAGCCCAATGTACAGATGGGGAAACCGAGGCTCAGGAGAAGGCAGCAGCAAAGGCACTCTGGCCCCCAATCCTCACTCCTCATGCTGGCTCCCTGGCCCTCCAGGGGAAGGCATGGCCATCTCCAGCAGCGCTGACCCGCCCGTGTGCTGACAGCCGCCTACGTCACAAACACTACCTGGGCTTGGCGCTGGCCTTCCCTGGTCTCCCCGGCCCCCGGGGGAGAGGGGGCACTGCCTCTGGCTATCTTTAGGGCGGGGCTGGATCATCTCCTGCAGGCCGGCAGGGTTGACACGGCGAGGGGCGGGGAGCAAGGGTGGAGCTGGGGTAGCTCACAGTCACCAGGAGCCCTGGGGTCAGATGGAGCGCTCACAGAGCAGCCTCGGGGTCCCGGCACCCACCCCTGCTCACAGCGGGCCGGCCACCGCTCCACTCCAGGTGTTGGCCTGTCCCCGTCCCCGGCCTGCGATGGAAACCTTCAGGACATTCATGGGAACTGGGTGGGCATGGTGGGCTGCTGGGCCCTGGGCTGACAGCCTGGGGGGGTCTTCCTGATGAGCTGCCTGTCGGCAGGTGGGACAGAGTTCCAGGTGGCCCCGTGACAGCACAATAACCCCTGTCACTCAGCGACAGAGAGGCGAGGACTTCAACTCCCGCCGGGGCTCTGGGGCTCCGGGCAGTGTCCCACCCCAGTCCTCCCGGGGCGCCGGGGCCAGTGGCTGCCGTGCATGGTGAGTGAGCTGGCCAGGGGGCGGGTTGGGCTCGGCCTGGGCCACAGTGGGGGTGCAGTGAGGGGCTGGGGGCAGGGGTGGCTCCCAGGGTCAGTGTTAGCGGCAGGGGCAGGGCTCAACCCCAGGCTTGACCGTCAGGATCAAGATCCGGTCTGAGGGCCAGCCCCGTGGCTTAGCGGTTAAGTGCGTGCGCTCCGCTGCTGGCGGCCCAGGTTCGGATCCCAGGCACACAGCGCTTCTCCGGCCATGCTGAGGCCGCGTCCCACATACAGCAACTAGAAGGATGTGCAGCTATGACGTACAACTATCTACTGGGGCTTTGGGGGAAAAATAAATAAATAAATAAAATTATAAAAAAAAAAAAAGATCCGGTCTGGGCAGGGTCAGCCCGGGAGCCTGGTGCAGGAGAGAGGAGCAGCTTGAGGCCGTCCCTAGCAGCCGGACGAGGGGCTGAATGCTCCGGCCCTGGCACCAACGAGAAAACATCAGCCGCCTCACCCCCGCCCTCTGGCCTCTTGGGGCTGGTCTGGGAAGCAGGCGCTGGCTTCCCAGCTCTCCTTGGCATGTGCTCAGGGCCCCCTTTTGCCCATAAAAACAGTCAGTATAGACACCCAAGCACCCTGGATCCCAGGCCTGCTTCCCCAGCCCTGCGCTCCCAGGAGAGCACCCTACCCCATCCACCTCCAGTGGGTATCATGAGCCTCACTGAGTTCACTCCGCAGTTCAGGAGCGCTGAGGCGGTCAGGGGTATTTACTAGTTTTAGCAATTGCCCTGCAGGCGCTCCATCCAGAGCGGCCCCAGAGAAACGGGGGTCTGCAGCAAAAGGCCCTAATTCCGGGCAGCATGGAGAATGAAGGGCCGGAGGGCCGTCCCCAAGGCTCATTCAAAAGAACCTGTCCTGGGAACCAGGACGCCCGGAGACGGCTGCCATCTGGACAGGGCACGAGGGCCCATCGGGGTCCTGGACATGGTGGAGGCAGCCCCACAGGTAGCTGCCCACAGGGGGAGGAGTCACCCCGGGGACAGGCCCTGCCCGGAATGTGAGGTGCCACCTCCTCCACCCCCAACCAGCCTCCCTTATAGTTCGGATGAGGGGAAGGACGTGCCTGCCTCAGAGTGCAGAGCCAGCAGGACCCCAAATCCAGCCTCTGGCCCCAGGGCCCAGGACCACACCCGGTGGCCCAGACAGATGACCTACCTATGTGGCCAGGTCCCCTGTTGGCAGCACCGTGGCGGCCATCCGGCTCTGCCCCGTCCGCCTGGCCAGGAGTCCCGCCCTGCCCAGCCTGCCTGCAACACTAGGGACATCGCCCGGCCAGGCTGGAATGGAGCAGATCCCACCCGTGTGTTTGCCCCTGGTCGGCCATCCCAGAGAGCTGACCCGGGGCCGCACAGGGGAGCCCCAGGCCCTTTCCGTGGGCTGCGGAGCACAGGCGTGTTCCTGTGATGTGCTGGGATACACTGGGCCTGCAGACGGCGCCTGCTACACCAGGAACGGGGGGTAGAGTTACACCAGCTCTTGGGGCATTGCAGCAAGCTAGGGGAGACACAATAAGGGGGTGACCACGGCATCCCCCACACCACCCTTAGAGGCTGGACAACTGAGGGGACACTCGCAGACAGCTCGACCTCCTTCTGTTCCCAAAGAGCCTCCCCGCACCTGGGCAGGATCTCTCTGCAGCCTTGACAAAAATAAAAGCTGAAGGACCCCCACCACTGTGGCCCCAGGGGCCATCCAGCCATGCAGAGGCCCGGCCCCTTTACAAAGGCCCTCCCTCCTGCTGGGCCCTCCGGCCCCCACATCAGTTGTGGGCCTGGGGGGCACTCTCCCCAGTGTCCTCCTGGATTCCCCAGCCCTGCTCCCGAAAGGGCAGAGGGAAAGGGTCACTCTGAGCAGAAGCGGCGGAGCTGGGTGCCGGGAAGTTTCTCCTAACAGAAGGGCCTGGTGGCCCTTTTCTCCTGTTAGCAGGAGCACCACGCAGGAAATAAGCTGTCCCAGCAGTCAGCGGAGACCCTCTCTTCTCCAAGAAGAAGCCACGTCATAAACATGACGGACCATCAGTTTAAATGATAAAAGCAAAATCATGAAAACAAATGTGTAGTGAACTTGAAGACAAACCTGACAGGGTCCCCGTCACCCTGTGAGTGTGACAAGCCAGGGAACTTCCTCCCTCTCCTCCCAGCCCTGCTGGGCCTTGTCGCAGCCCCCTCCTTCACCACCAGGGCTCCAGATGTGGCTCCCAGAGGCCTGTGAGGGGAGACAGGCCCAGGGAAACCCCCTCCCCCTGCACAGACCCCTGCTGATGTCGCCCTGCTGGCCCCAGCCTCTCGGCACCCCCTAGGGCGACTAAGGCTCTCTGAGCTGGGCTGCACCCCGGAGGCCACAAACAGCAGCATCAGCTCTCGCCTGGGGTCGCAAACAGCAAGGTTCCGACAACACCACTGGGCAGAGGTACAGCCCGGAGTCGAGGAACGTCCCCCCGGGTCAGGCCTGAGCTTGGCCCTAGCAGCATCTCAGCTAACCATGGGCCCCGCCGCAGGTCCAGCTGGAGGCCTGCCCCCGCTGGGTGAGGCACACGCAGCTCCCCTCCTGACCCCTCCCTAGCTCGAGCCTGCCTGATGCCGGGTCCCCTCACCCAGCTGTGTGAGCAGGACCCCCGTGCCGCTCTCACCCATCTGCCTCCCCCAAAGGCCGGGGACTGCTGGGGCAGGGGTGGCCTCGTGTGCGAATGCGCGTGGCTGTAAGAGCCCCCAGAGAGGTAGGACGCTATGCAGAACACGGGATTCACGTCACGCCGTCCAGCTCCGTTCCACAGGCTCAGCACAGTCTTGCGTCCAGAGTCCCAGCAGGGCCAGAAGCCGGCATGGTGAGTCTCCACAACTGGCCACACTCCCAGGGCCAGGAAACAGGGTGGCCCCGGCGGCCATGCCGAGCCATCAACGGGGTGGGCGGGTCACAAGGCTTCTGGCCGGGAGAGGCCAGTGCGAAGACCCAATGGAGCAGCCCACGTCCCCCTGCGGGCACACGGTGGACACAGTGGTGGAGAGCCCTGACTCCCAGACATGCAGGGGCCTGTCAGTGATCTCGGGCAGGTCATTGAGCCCTTGGGCATCAGTTTGCTCCTCAGGAAAGTGGGCAGAACACTAGCCCCCACTTGAAAGGATTCTTGTGAGGGCCCAAAGACACACAGAACACAGAGTGTCACCGGGGGCTGGGCACACGCTAAGAAAAGAAAGCCAGGCATCTCTGTCCTCACTCAGCCACCGCAGAGCCTGGACCCCCAGCCCAGGTCCCCATGCACCGCCTGGGGTCATGAGGCACCTGCACAGTGCAGCCTGAAACTGGTGACTCCCTAGGGCAGCAGTTTCTGTCCCTCGCTGCCTTCAGGGCTGCCCCTCGCCCGGGGGGCCGGGTGTGCCCACCCACGGCACCATAGCCCGCTGCACCATGAGGAGCACGTGATGTTCCAGCCTGGGCTGGCTGGCGGGGTTAGGCAGCTGCAGTTGGGAGCAGAGGGGCCTCCTTCTAGAAGCTAGCAGGCTCTGATCTAATGAGCCACACTGTTTACCCCTCCCTACCTCGTCGCTAGCAGAGCCAGCCTGAGCAAGCCTGGACAGGCTCAGGGACAGTCAGCGGACGGGAAGGAGAAAGGCCTGCCACGCCACTGCCTCCAGGCCCTGGGGTTCCAGACCACAGAGAACTCGGCAGCACAACAGCGGGCACAAGCCTGGACGTTGGCATGGCACCCAACGGCCACCTGCACAGACCCAGCCTGGGGAAGCAGCAGTCCCCGCAGTGGACAGACCCAAACGGCCATGCACCCTGATCAGAGTCTCAGCTGCAGCAGGCTGTGCCCTGAGGCTGGAGAGGGGGTGGGGGGTGCGGAGGGGCA